TATCGGACCAAAACATTTAATTTACGGAATCTTGGAATATTGACAAATTCTGAATATAATTTGTGGTTTATATAACGGCAAAAGTGTTTTAAAACATGTTGGTTTTCAAAACTATAAGATGTGGTATGTAATTTAAATTCAAACTTTAAATTAAAAAAAATAAATTTAATATATCAGATATACTTATATTCTTTAATTTATTGAGCCTAAACAATTTCCTGAAATGGATAATATTCCTTTGAAAGTTGTAAGTGCAGTCAAACCTCTCTATAATCACACCCTTGGTTTTAAGAATTTGGTGCTTATGGAGAGGTTGTGCTTATATAGAGGTTAAATTTTATAAGTGCTGTGCTATACAAGTTGGTTTTAAAATTTTGTGATTATAAGCAAATGTGACTATAGAGAGGTCTGCTGTATACAAAAGATATAATATAAAATGTGTAGTTGTGTGGTTAAATACCAAAAAAATGTAAAAAGATAAGGAAGTAGCTAGAATACATGACTAGAATATTTCATAAATAGCTTTGCGAGGTATTGCTCTTTACTATGAATAAAGTTGGCGGCATTTTACCATATCTGGAGTCGTCTAAATCATGTGACTATAAGCCAATCAAATTATAGGATTTTGATGATCGCCGGCGAAGCAATACAAGCCTTGGGTAGGTTAAGCAAAATGTCGGGAAGGCAATTTTACATATATATAACTACCTAAGACCCAACCTAACTCTAACTTTAGATGACCCTAACCCTAAAGTTAATTCAATTACATACTATACGTATATATAATTTATCCCAGTTTAGACGTCCCCATATCTGATAATATTTCGACCAGTTAGGGAAGAAGTGGATAATTCCAACTTGTGTGTAAATAATGTGGTTGAATGTGAAACCGTAAACGAATCTTATGCGTAACAGAGTTAATATTTTGAGGTGGTATGGTAATATTAATATTTTGAGAAAAAGGACCATTAATATCCAACGTAACAATTGATAAATCTTTGCTGCTGTTGACACGTATCAGATTGCAAGGTCTATATTACTTCGGGCCATGTGAATGTTGGTCAACTACAGGTTGTTACCTCGAAGGGAATTTCTGCAAAAATTTGAGAATAAACATATAAATAATCCTTAAATTTGATTGGCTCATCTTGCATGCAACTCCATACTGGGAATAGCATATCTCATGTTTCTCAGGGCATGATCCAAATGAACATCAATGTCTGAAAGTATGACATCTGAATTCGAAGCGAAGCATCAAGATACTAATGATGCTAACGAGCTAACAGATACTGAAGAGCTTCCTATTCCACCGGATACTGAAGATCATTACTCTAAAACAGAGGTCAAATGGCGTAAACAAGACGATGAGCCCGTTTTGTATAGAGATAAGTATATTGCTGTTACAACTACTTACTTATATATTTTTAATTACTACATGCCGGATGGAAGGGATAAGGCTATCGCTTTGACTAGTATAAAAAATATACAAACTGATAAAGAGGCGAATATTTCTGTCTGGGCATTTCAAAAATGGTATGTTTTTTTTTAGATATTTATTATTTTTTATTTATTGTTATTATTATTACATGTCACTCTGGTTATAACGACATCGTAGTAAAAGCTTTCTATATCGACAATTTTTTTTCAAAAATTTTAATATAAAATGTCGGTATAACTATTTTGAATTTTTTTTTTTTTACGAATGAAAAAAAATTGTCGATATATCCAGAGTAACGTGCATTATTATTATTAGTATTTTTTTTATTGTTTCTTATACTCACGATTTATTACTTGATCGTTTGAAGGGGAGCTGGGTCAATAGATCTTTGGGTATGAAAACTCTAATTCATTTATATGCTGCATGTATTTTGATTGTTCTATTTATTAGTTGAACTTATTTTATTAAATAGTGGGCAAAAGATTTTGGAAGATGGAAAGGTCATGATTTGTGTGTGATTGTTACTGTTGACCGTGGTGTGGTCAAACGAAAAGGATTTACCTTGGAAAATATTAAAGGCTTGCATGTTCTTAAAGAAGCCTGGAAAAAGGCGAATGGACTACCTTACGAAGATGATGGATAAATGTGTAGAACTATCAGCCAACAATATTCATATTACTTCACTATTGTATAATTGCATTGTATTAAAACATTGTTTAAATTTATAGTTTCCGAAGGGTGTAAGGTGTTTATTAGATTTCCTTTAATTTTGATTATAAATAATAAGTATTTAATAAATTTTATTAATTAAAACTTCAACGTAGCTAACAATGTCATTTATGATTTTAGTGGAAGTGCGAAGAGTTTTTCTAATAATTCATTCAATGCGACCAATTCTTATGATTATATTTAATATAACTAGTTTTGATGTGGCATAAACGATTTAATCGCATCAAAAATTTTATATTAAACTTAAAATCGCAAGCCTTCTTATCTAGAAGCATTGGTGTAATGCACGAGGAACTTTTCAGATTGTTTTGTTATAGTGACTAGTTAAATATTAATTTCTTGGACTCAATCATTAGATAACCGAAAGCTCATTTAGATAAAATGTTTAATAAATATAAAATATGTATACATACTTAAATTGAAATAAAAATATTATACTGTATACGTTGTACTTCAAATCGAATTGTGGAATTCTAAATATCTTTGTAAACAATGTTGAAATCTGTAACTGTTCCAAAGTAAACTATTTTTGTAAGTAAACCTTTCTTTGAGCTTCAATAAAATTTTAGTGCCAATTTTTACGATTCTAATGGCGGTAAAATAATCAAGATACAAGCAATTAATTTTACACGATTATATAAAATCTCTATAAAGATTTTATATAGTTGTGCAACACTAATTGTATGGTTTACTTACTAAAAAAAGAATAGTTACTTTGGATTATCACTTAAGAAAATGGATAATACAAATTTTACTACGTAATAACTGAATATGAAGTTTTTTAACATTTTAATATAATATATATTTAGAAAATAAAATGTATGTATAAAATTGTGCGTTCCCAAATTATACAACGCGATGGAATTTATTAAGACTGAGCAATTCCCGAATTAGAACCTATCAAAAGCTATTATATATTTGAAGAGTATTCTATTCCAGTAGAATTTAGCTGCCCGATACGAAAGTATCGGAGCAGCATTTTGTCCCGAATCGATCATGGGTGTATTGTAAGTAATTGTTGATGCATGATTGTGATGTATTATATGATTGTGCCATTTGATGCATTGTAGTGATTTATTGTATGATTTTGTTTGATACATTGCTGTGATTTCTTATATGACGTTATGATGTATTTGGGATTAGTAAGCGTTTAGTTAGTATTTAAGAGGAACGGGTTTGTTTAAGAAAAGGTAGCTTCTGTTTTTTCTGCTAACCCGACTTTGTCTGGTTTTTTCGTGCTATACCTATTCTTTTACTTCTTGTTTTACTTCTTGTCTTACTTCTTTGATTGTCACTTTATACAAAACAAAATACCGGTCTTTTCGTGTTTTGACTAAGAAATAAACTTGACTGTTTCATTTTACAAAGTAAAGCAGAATAAATTCCTAGTCTTACCATAATCTGTTATGTCGGCGGCCAGTAGGGAATCAGACCCTGCTGTGTAAATGATTCTTCGGCTCAACTCGACTCGAGGCAAGCATGCTTGGAGTCAGGCCTAGAACACTTATTGCCGGGGTTGTTAAGGAGTCAAAACCGGGCATTGTGTTGAAAGATACTGATACAGCTCAAATGAGTTTGGAAACAGACCTCCAATGATTATCAGTAGAGGCGTTGAAATTTGTTTGTCAAGGAATAGGCTATCGGCATTGGGTCGGATGCAAGAAATTGTCTCCAGGTTGGTGAAAGAAGGCAAAGCCTGGACAGGTCCGGAGAATTCCATAAATGAGCTTGGTGTAATAGGAAAAGGAAAGGTTGCGCAATCACAGCATAGAAGAGCCGGGATGATGTTTTGTCAGAGGATTTTGAAAAAATCACAATGAATTATGGGCTGATTTGGGAGCGTGGATAAGATCGAATATATAAAGCTTGTGGGCAAGCAAGAGTTGTCAAAGCAACACAATTAATGGGAATATGAGTGAAGCGTTAGTGGACAAGCTTTAGTCTTAGCTGATTACGTTTAGAATGCGTTTTTATCGTAGAAAGACCTGTATTCATCGAAGAGGCTTGATTGCAATGTTTGCAATATTACTTTAGCCCAGAATGGATCTGTTTTTAAATCGTTTTGAGGGACATGTATGCTGAGATAATGTTGAAATCGACGTGGAGCAATTGAAAATGTTTCTACAAGGAGATACATATCTTTTTTTTTAAAAAAAAAAAAAAAAGAAAAAAGCATAACTTTAATTAAAAAATAATATGGAAACTCATTTACGTCATGGAAATCACCTTTAATTAAAAAAAAAAAAAATAAAAAAATAAAAAATAAATAAATAAAATTATCATGAAACACTTTGTTTATGAAATCGATTTCGAACCCGATTGGAGCATTATGAGTTCCTAATGGAAATCACGTGATTACAGAAACACGTGTTTAACGGGTTTGGGTTTCAAACAGGCCCAAACTGAGTTTAGACAAGCAGAATAACATCCCTAGTCTCAGGTGGCATGAGGCAGGTTGCTTCCGAAAAGGCCTAGTAGCTAGAGTGACTGATGATGATGGTTGGAAGGTGGCATCAAGGACAACAGCACCATGAAGGTTTATGTCCTAATGTCCGAACGATTTTGAAGCATATATTTGAGGGCAATTATACAGCTGAGTTGATAGCCTTGAAGTTATGAGCTTTGACTAGTAAGAGTTAAAGTAGGGATATAAAAAACCAAATCTTGTATAGCAATGCTTTGATTGGGGATTAGTAAGCGTTAGTTAGTATTTAAGAGGATCGGGTTTGTTCTCAGAAAAGAATACCTGGTTTTTTCATGCTAGTTATTTTTGGCAGTTGCATGGCCTGGACAACAGTCACAGAGAAGCTTTTCTTGCTTTTGTTGGCCTGTCGGGATGACAGTCACGAGAGATTTTTGTGTACAGGTGGGGTTGGCTCTGTATTCAGTATCAAGAGAACTATCAGCGGCTTTTGGCGTGGATAGTACTATTGAAAAGGGCGGCAGATACCAACTGCCTAGATGTGGTAGCTAGAAAGTATAAGATAAAAGGTTTAGAGAACCTGACTAAGGTAGTTCGATTCGAATGATCATGGAAAGAATTAATAGGACTACTTCTTGCAAGAAAGGTGGAGCTAAGTGGCTGAGGGACCCTCTACGGGTGTCTGTGAGTATAAATATATTGATGGCCCTCTACCCGGTATCAGCATGGAGTTATGAGAGCAGTGCAGGTAGACATAAGGGCAATTTAGTACCACCGAGATGAAAGTGATGGGCTTTGTCAAATTAAGAGGAAAGTAGAAGTAATGTATACTTAGAACCTTGCCATTTCATAGCGATTCTCTGCAAAGACCCATAGTTGTTTTTCATTTGTAACACCCCTCGATGAGGGACAAATTTAGCTGCCCGATACGAAAGTATCGGAGCAGCATTTTGTCCCGAATCGATCATGGGTGTATTGTAAGTAATTGTTGATGCATGATTGTGATGTATTATATGATTGTGCCATTTGATGCATTGTAGTGATTTATTGTATGATTTTGTTTGATACATTGCTGTGATTTCTTATATGACGTTATGATGTATTTGGGATTAGTAAGCGTTTAGTTAGTATTTAAGAGGAACGGGTTTGTTTAAGAAAAGGTAGCTTCTGTTTTTTCTGCTAACCCGACTTTGTCTGGTTTTTTCATCCCGCCCTACCCGACCCTCGTGTAGCACCTAGAAGGTTTCTATTTGAGGACCCATTGGTTTAATATCATTGTTTTAACTGAGATTGGATAAGTTTACGGTCTGTCGAACGACAGTCATATATTCTGTTTTTTAGGAGTGAGCCGGTTAGAGCAATAGTGCAACAGTCACAGGAGTGACCTGTCAGGACAACGGCCACGAAAGATTTTTATCACAGTTGTGTGGCCTGTCGAGATGACAGTCACAAAGAAATTTTCTGGTTTTTGCATATATAGTAAGGTGGCCTATCGAGACGACAGTTGCAGGGAAATGTCTTATATTTTATACATAGAAATTGCCTTTCGGGATGACAAATTATCTGGGTTTTTTCGCCCTGCCCCCTTGAGATGTACAATGGCTTTGGGAAGCATCAGTTTTAGGACAGATACTTTCGGGGTTTTTTCCCAGGAAGGAGGATCCAAGACCTACCTTACAGCAGTTGTCTTTGAGTTGGTAATAGAAAGTGGCCTGTCGGGACAACAGTCACAGTTGGAGTCCTGAAGTTTTTAGCATTGTCCATCAAAGCTTGGTCATCAAGGATGATAACCATTGCCTAGCTATTATAGAGCGTTTTGACACACCTAGAAGGTTTCTATGAATGAGCCGGTTAGAGCAATAGTGCAACAGTCACAGAGAAGTTTCTTATTTTGTGTATATAGGAGACAATGCCGCAAAGAAATTTCTGATGTTTTCTATATAGGAGTGACCTGTCAGGACAACGGCCACGAAAGATTTTTATCACAGGTTTTGTATTAGCTGATTTTTGATAATATGTGGCCTGTCAGAAGGCAATAGTGT